GGTTGACTCAGCCTTCCATCCTTCTGAGGTGGGTGAAATGAGGACCCGGACTGTGGGGGCGATACGCTGACTCTGTAAACCGCTTAGAGAGGGCTGAAAGCCCTATGAAGCGGTATATAAGTCTAACTGCTATTGCTGTTGCTAAGGGCGGCCCCATGTAGAGAGCTGTGAGGTGGCCAGGGCATAACTGACCATCTGAGAAGCCCCCGATCTGGGAAAAGACGCAACTGGCATACCAGATGGAGGCCTCCCTAGTCACAGCTGCCACCTGCTCTTTGAGCAAGAGCTTTGAGGCCAGGAAACGCCTTGCCTGGCATGCGGTCCAGGTGGCTCAAGGAGCCGTCTCACCCCACTGGGACTGGCCCACCCCACCCGTACTGACAGAGGAGGCATGCTGCGCACCCCATCGGTCCAGGGATTCCGGCTGGCAGGGTCTGGGAGAACATCTTTTCCCCTGGAAGGGGAATAGGGATCCTATTCCACCATTCCTTCCATACTAGTGTAACTCTTGTCCGGTGCCAAGTTGGCCATGCCACGTTATCCTAGACTCTCTGCAGCATGGCTCACTCCCTTGTGCTGGCACAGGTGAGCCAGTGCCAAAATGCCCCATTCAGCATTTCTTCTGGAGCCAAAATCGCGGCAATAGGAAAAGCAGCAGGGACTTGGCTCCTGTTCGTTTTCTGGAGAGGTTGTTGCTGGAAGCTCCAACTCTGAATGAGGCACATTCTGTATTCCTTGCAGGTCTCTGGCCTCCCTCAGTGCTTGAAAGCGGTCTGCGTCCACTCCGGCATGTCGAAGGCTCAGCGGGAGGCTGCCATGGAGCGGGTGAGCCATCTGCATGCCTTGGGGTCACTGAGAACTGTCTTTAGTAGGATCCTCCAGATTATACTGCCCCACAAAGCCCCTAATTGTGGGATTTGTAGCCTCAGTTGGGGGTGGCGTTAGGTGTATATAGGGGTCCTGCCAGCCTCCAGTTTTGAACTTAAGCAGTAAGTTGGCATCAGCCCAACATTGCTTACGCTAAGTGAGACAGTTGTTAAGTGAGTTTTGCCCTACTGCATGACTTTTCTTGCCCCAATTGTTAAGTGAATCGTTGCAGTTGTTATATTAGTTAACGTGGTTGTTAAGTGAATCTGGCTTCCCCATTGACTTTGCTTGTCAGAAGATCCGCCAAAGGGGATCACGTGACTGCAACCGTCATAAATATGAGTCCATGGCCAAGTGTATGAATTTTGGTCACATAACCATGGGGATGTTGCAACGATGTAAAAAAACAGTTATAAATCATTTTTTTCTCAGTGCTGTTGCAGTGAAACACTCCTTTGTAACTACAATCACAACAATTGTTGTAATCGTAATTGTAATTGTTTTGGGGTGTCCACTTGTTTACGAGAACGTGGGCTAACATAGATATTTCTCAATCCTCCTGCTCAACAAGGCTGTGGTTGAATGTCCAACACTGAGCAGGGTTGCAATGAAAGTGTCAGACCTTCCCCAGCTAGGTCCCTAGGAAAGAAAGACCCTCGACTCCACTTAGTCATAGGCTCTTTTACGAAGGATTGCTGGTTGCACTGAAAGCAAGGCCAGATCTAAAGTTCCCAAGCAAAGCACTACATTTTTTCTCCTCCTCCCTGGCCCTCCTCCCTTGACTCTCCATCTCTGTGTGCTGGGGAGCAGCTCAATGTTTGGGGTCACCTGGTGCCATTCGCATTCTTTTCCCAGACTAGGTGTCCTCGAATACCCCTGGTTTCTATCAAGCCTATCTCTCTCTCTCTCACACACACGCACATACTTCTCTCCACATGCCAATTGCCTCCTTCCTGTCCCCTGCTGCCCCCCTAACAATCTATGACAGGATGCCGAGCAAAGCCGAAGAGGGCAGATCTGACAGAAAGCCCGTGTTCCTGACCAACCGAGGTTGTCTTCTTACAGGTAAAGACCGGGAAAGTCCAGGTGCTCCTGCTCTCCCCCGAGGCGTTGGTTGGAGGAGGCCTCTCCAGCAGCAGCTGCCTCCCTCCCGCCGACCAGCTGCCCCCCGTGGCTTTTGCCTGCATTGACGAAGTCCACTGTCTGTCCGAGTGGTCGCATAACTTCCGCCCTTGCTACCTCCGGCTCTGTAAGGTACTGAGGGTGAATGAGTAGAAGTGTGGGTCAAGGGTAAACTCTCTCTCTCTCTCTCTCTCTNGGGCGATATGCTGACTCTCTGTAAACCGCTTAGAGAGGCCTGAAAGGCCTATGAAGCGGTATATAAGTCTACTGCTATTGCTATTGCTATTGCTAGTCTCCCAGGGTCATTCCCACCAACCATTACAGGCAAAGGGTGCAGCCTGAAATGTCCAATAAGGTTATTTTCCCACCCCTCCTAATTACTAGCCCGTTTCTGGCATAAATGAGTGAAAGGCAACAGCTTTTAAAGCCTTAAAAGATGGTGTCCACTTAAGGGAGCTAATCGAAGTTTTAACCCTGACACAGACAAAGGTGGCTTATAGCTGTTTCACTCTGAGATTTTTGCATTGTGATGAGGTGCAAATGGGGGAAAGGCTCTAAGCCAAAGAGAGAGTGATTTTCACGTACTTGAAAGCACCCTGTATATTTTCAGTGATTCTTCAGGTTTCACTCATCTTCGGGAACATTCAATGCAAGAACTATCAAATGATGCTGCTGGAGGAAAACTCTACGTTCAACCTGAAGCCACAGGTTAGTCTCCTGGAATTTAATTTGTTCCTCTCATAAAGGGCCAGAATTCAGTAAATGAAGCTCATTGGGGGTGGCTTTCTACCACACTAGACAATGCTGCTAAAACTGAGCGCATGGTTTTGGTTCAGGCTACACCACCCTTCTCTTCAACACACTCCAGCCAGCCAAGCATTGCAGGCCACAGGAAATCCTTTCTGTAATGCTATCGAGCCCCTGTGATGCGGTTTGACTAAAGGAAGCCAGTATGAGGCACAGCAGAAGCCGTGTGAACCTATATAATAACATTGCAAACATCTATTGCCATTACTTTCCTATTTATCTCCAAATGAACCTCATTATGATTTGCTCTTCATCCATGGTTATCCAGAAACCTTTCTCCCCCCTGTACACAATAAGAAAAAGTTATATTATTCTCAGTTTTACTTTAGTAGCATTTAAAAAAGTAGCATCTTCCACTGAGGCAGACAGCCTGTGATGAGTTGCTGCACCAGGAGATATATTTTTTTTTTGGGGGGGATAAAAGAGCTACTGAAAAGTCAAGGAATCTCGTGTCAGGGAGTTTTTCAGAGATGTGTAAGTGGTTCTGTGAGAGGCACCTGTGTGCGTGTGTATCTTTTGACCAGAGTTGGCAAATAATTTATGAAATAAGAGAAAATGAGGTCTAACTGGCTTATGCCATCTCAACATCTTTTGCCATCCCTGCTTCTTCAATCGAAATTTACTCAGCATGACCACCGCATCTAGATAGCTGTTGCAAAAAGCGT